CCAGATGGGCCCTGAGTCTGCCAGGAGTGATCCATGAGCACAGAGCCAGGAATAAGTCCGGTGTGTGGTCACGGGTGTGGAACCCCCAGAAGCAGGGGAGGAAAAGCTCTCCTTGACGTGCATTACAGGCTCACACAGCAGTTGACATCCTGGCAAGCAGACAGGGAGAAAGAACCTAGGATCACCGGGGTCTCAGCACAACCCCTGTGCGAGACAAACAGAACAGAGATTTCATTCCTAGCCATGGCCCCTAGCATCCAGGGTGGGAAACGGTAGCTGTAGCCTAGCTGGGAGCTCCCGGGTGCCGTCCTGGGGCTGGCACAGGTAGCAGTTGCGCTCATTGGTGTAGCACCTCTGCTGTCTCCCCAGCTGGTGCCAATCAGGATTCCTTGAGCTACAATTGATTCGACTCAATTGGGGTAAAGCATTGGGGAGAAATTATTGGTTCCCCTAAACGAAAAGCCCAGGGCTTTGGGGGGGGGGGGGGTTGCGAGCTGTGGGTGCTGGGACGACACTGCCAGGATTCTGCATCTCCACCTGCTTCCCAATGCTCTGTGCCCACGTGACGCACAAACTCTGTCGAGAGCAGCTTCCGCTTTCCCAGCAGTTCCGGCCAAGGTCCCAGGTAGGACTCTCATTGGCTAGCCCTGCGTCACCTGATGGCCCCTAAACCTATCACAAGCTAGGATGGGGACTCCACCTTGGATTGGTTAAACTCGGGTCACATGCTCTCCTCTAGCACTGCTCATGGTGTGAAAGTGACCACACCCCGTGGACAGAACAGGGTGGACAGAACCACCCACAGCCTGAAGGGAGTGGGTTCTAAGCCGCTGGTGTCCAGCTAGACCCACTCCACACTCCAGGGACCCCAGGGCTCAGCCTGTGGTTTCAGGGGGTGCCTAGGGAGGAACTGGGGCGACTCAGGGGCCCGGCCCTGCGCCCCCTGCCCAGCCCACTTACTCCAAGGAAGTGGGTTTTTTCTGCTCTTCCATTCCGTCTCTGGATTTTCCCGGGAGAGAGAAAGTCTCTTCACGGCCTTGATTTCCGGTTGGTTTGAAACCATTTCCGGGGTGCAGGTGAAAAGACAGGCACTGTCTGTCACCCGCTCCTCTGCAGGCAGCGCAGACACCTGAATACCTGTTGTATGCCAGAATTTCTCCACTTAGTCTAAGGATGCCCATGTGAGCTTGGAAGCAGAGACGGACTGAAGGGGGCAATCCTTGTCGGGGTGAGTGGTCCTCTCTGATCTTGCCCCTGGGACCATGAGGGAAGTGGGCTTCTGGAGCAGCCAGCTCACTGCTCCTCCCTGGCCCACAACGCCTTCCTTTACCGAGTCACGCAGGACACAAGCCCTGCCCGAGCCCCAGGCTCCAGAGAGACGCTGGGTGCCCATCCCAGCTGCGTGACTCAGGCCAAGTCCCTGAATCTCACTGGGACGCTGTCCCCTCGGATTCAAAAGGGAGAATTGTCTCATGTGGCAAAGCATAGTGAGACTGGGCAGAGCACAGGGGGCGCTCAGCCAACGTGTGTGCCCTTCCCGGGACTGTGAGCCAAGTACTGTGGACACCCCCATTTGGTCTGCTGGAAGGTGTATGGAGAACAAAAAGGGTATGATGGAGAGCACTCAAGAGAGTAGAAGAAAATGTGACGTGGTCCAAATATTCGCTGTCTTTTAATAATATCACCCCAAGTTCCAGCACACGACTGGCTCTGCTGGCTTCCCTTGTACCTGCAGGATAACAATACTAAGGTCTAGCCAAGGGAGTGTGATCGGAAGTGACACGTGTGCTCTGGGAGCTGCATTCCAGACAATGGAGGTGTCCTCCACTTCCATTCTTCGTTCCATCTGTGGACAGGAATACAGTCATGATGATCAGAGCTGCAGCAGCCATCTCAGATCATGAGGTCGAATCTGTGAACCCAGGAGAGAAGGAGCCTGGGTCTCCGAGCTGCTTTCTCAGCAATGCACAATTTCTGCTTGAAGAATTTCATGAGAGAAAGTTTCCCAACCATTGTTTAAGTCACCATGAGTTTGGAGATAAAGGCTCATTTCTCCACAGTCCCACGGCTTATAGGGGGCCTTGGGAAGATCTAGGGGAACCCCAAATGCCTGCTTCTTTGCATGTGAATAAAGTAGTGGCTATAAATTACTTCCACGGAGCCGATGCGGCTATGATGCACTGCCTGACAGCTCGCCTGATGTCCTGCCATGCCCTCTGGGGTCAGAATCTCCCAAAACAAACTCCAAAACATTCCGTCTTCATCTTCAGAACTGATAGAAAAGTCCCGAGTAGGAAGATTCCACTCAGATTTCCAAGCTGTGGGAGGGGAGGGGTGGGGAACAGGCTGATCTTGGTAGAACTTGAAAATTCAGCTCAGGAAAAAAGGGGGGGGGGAAGTCCCTATTCTGCCCCTAGAGCCATTGAGAGTGACCCTGAGCTCAGAGTTAGTTAGGAGTAGCTCCTGAGAACTGCTGGGTGAGGCCTCCAAGCCCCCCAAAAGCCTGTCCTGTCCCAGCCATCAGTCAGCCCCTGAGATCTTCCCTGGAAGACGGCAACCCTCGAGAGGAATTTTTAGATCTCACAGTGTGTTTGGGAAGGGCTTCCCCGGGCGCGCAGCTCTGCTGGCACCGCCCAAGCCCTCTCGGAGGAAGCTCGTGGGAATGTTTGTATCACTGAGTCTCTATTTCTCAATTCTTGGCGATACCCTCCACTTGGGAGCAAATTGCAGCCCGCCTCGTGCCAGCTCCACTGTCTCGGAACTTTTTCCCCTCCGGTCCGAGCAGGCGCAAAGGGCTCCCTCTCCACCAAGCCACGTTCGAGTGGCAGCTGTGTGCGGGCGCTGCGCTGGGTACCAGGGACCCTGCCAGGAACGGGACAGACACGTCCTGGCCCGCCTTCACCCTCCTGAGCACAGGGGCCCATAAGAAAGTCAGAGGAGAAGGAGCTGTAACTCAGGGTCCTGGAGGTTCCCGGAGAGCAAGCCGGAGTTTCTCGCAGCCACAGAGTGGAGCCTTCTCCTTTGGGGGCTCTGGAAATGCTTTTCCACAGTGACGGCATCTACACCAAGGCAGGACAGCAGAGAAGATTCTGAGGAGGGAGGCGGGGTCACCGCACTCGTATAGACTCTGTCTGTGTGCCTTGGCGCGGGCCCGGCCTGGGGGCAGCTCTGCTGGTGGTTCCAGCCCTGCGGTGATCTAGATGGGCGGCTGGTGGCCAGCAGGTGACTGGGTGTCTGCGGGGACCAAGCAGCTGGTCTCCTTCTCCTGGAGTTTGCATCTCCCTCACCATCATCCCGGTCATACCAAGTCACTAGCCAGCCGAAGCCCCAGCCCCACCCCCAGCCCGTCTCAAGGGTTAACGTGTAGCTGAGCTGTGGGGCGCCCGGCCCAGCACCTCCTTCAGAGAGGCTGATTTGACCAGACCTTCACCCCAGGGAAGTGGGGAGCCACAAAGGGTTTTGGTCAGGCAGGACGTGGGAACAAATTCCCCTCGAGGACACGTGGCTGACCACAGCCTCCTCCACAGTGGAGGGAAGGGCTGAGACAACAGAGGGACTGTCCCTACCCAATTGGCCAGCCTCCCATACTCCGGGAGGGCTCCTTCTGACCTTCTGCACTCATGCACACATACACACGCACGCGCACACACACACACACACACAAACACACGCACAAACACGCACACACACCTGACCCTGTCTTTCTCACGAATGAGGAGCAGTTACATTCTGGCTCGTTCATTTTCACAGCTGTATACTATTCTGCCGTGTATCCAAACCACTCTCCTCTCAGGCTGTTTTCAACTGTTTGCTTACACCTCGAGGAACATCCGGGCGTGTGGGTAAGAACATTTCCCTGGCATGGCGCCGACTGCGAAGAGCTGGGCTGGAGTTGGAGCAGATGTTGCTCAACCGCTTTCTTTCTGCTGAAGTGATCCATCCTGCTCCCCAAGGCCGTGTACTCCTTCACCCCCCCCCCCAACGTGCACAGTGCGGGGCCCTCTGCTGGGTATGAAGCCCACCTCATCCTCCTTTGAAGCGTCTCATCATTTTATTTCTCTGGGGGACTCCCTAGCAGTGCTCAGGGCCCCTGAGGGTGGGACGGCAATCCTTGGCCCAGCTGTGACCTGACCGTTGGGTGCTTGGGCCATTACCTGTGCTGGGGGGACCGTGCAGCGGAACTTGGGGCACCCACATGCGAGCACGCGCATTAGGCCTGGGAGTGCCCACGGGCTGCCTCCCCGCTCGCCTCTTAGATGGCTGCAGAGACAGAGCCCTTCAGCCGAGTGAGTCACTCCATCAGTTCTATTTTTTGCTTTCGCAAACAATGCGCTAATTATTTCTTTTCCGTCGAACGCACTTTGGGGCTGGAGCCGAGAGGCTGGACCCAGGGGAGAACCTTTCCAAGGCGGGCTGCGCCCCAGGGTGCACCCCTGCGCTCTTGCCAGCGCCGCCACTATTCATCACTTGGCGGCAAAGGAGTCTCTTATCATTGTTTTAATTTTAATTTCCCTGAGTGCCAAGGAGGTTGAGGATATTTGCCTGTGTTTATCAGTCTTTTTGGAGAATTGCCTGTTCAGAGTCTTTGTCCACTTTTCCCAATGGACAGGGCTCTTATTTATGAAGCTTTCGCTAAGCAATTATATTTAAAAATCGTTCCCCCGTTCCTTAAAGATTTCCTTCTTCAAAAACAAAACCAACCAACGCCGAAGGGGCCACTGTCTGCGGCAGACACCCCCCCAGTGCCAGGGGCGGGAAGGCCGGTGGAGAGGGATGGGCATCCTCAGCGGGGGTGGTGGGAGTGGACCCTTCTGCCGCCCAGGTGTGGCCAATTCTGCCAGCAGCGACCCCAGGCCCGGAGGGTCAAGTTCACCCAAGGTCACGTGGAGGGAGGGGCTGCAGGGGTCAAGTCCCAGCCGGCCCCATCAGCGCCCGGTATATAAGTGGTGGGGGACGGGCCCAGCCTCACACTGCCCTCACCTGTTCTCCACTAAGCCATGATGGCGCAGAAGAGAAGGACCTTCACTCTTTACTCCTCTTCCTCCACCACCACCTTCACGTCTTCCGTGGACTCTCCCGTGGAGCCTGAGAAGCCGGGTAAGCACCAGACCGGCCCCCACGCACCCTGCCCAGCCGGTTCCATTTGCAGTGGAAAGATTCCCTTTCCCGGGAATCTCCCCCACTTCCTGCCCCTCCTGCTCCCCCCGGAACCCCCCAGCCCCCCACCCCAGGCGGTTGAATTCACCTGCATGTTTGGCAAAAAAATGAAGGCCCACGAGCAGGGTGAGGTGAGGTGAGGGTGCCCAGGGTGACTGGGACCAGCTGAGATGTGGGCCCCAGGGCGGCGAGGGCAGTGGGGGCCCATTAACTGTGTGGGTGGTGGAGGTGGCAAGGCAGCTAGACGGTGGGCCCGGAGCACGGGTGTTGGAGGCAGAATGGTTTAGGAATACACGCCAAGTTTCAGTCGGCAAATAGCGTGGCTCTGGGTGGGCTTCCAGTTAGGCGGAGGCCCTCTCCCGTTTTTCCTTTGGGGAGTCCCTGGGCATTGGGCAAGCCTGCCGTGCTCGCAGACCCGCTTCGTCATGGGGCCTGTGTCTTCACGGTCAAACCCAGAATTGCCTCTGTGAGGTCTGGGAAGGCTTCCTGGAAGAGGTAACTGGAAGCTAAGTAAGTTAAGTAAGCCTTCCCAGAGAAAGAGGTGGGGCAGGAAAGGCTTCGGGCTCCAGGTGCCTCTCGGGTACACTTATCCTGGCCTGGGGAGTTTGCAGGTGTGCGTGCGTGTGTGCATGCGTGCGCGTGCTCGCGCGCGTGTCTGCGTATCTGCGGGGCCCTAGAAGGGGGACACTCCTCTGGAGGATGAGGGGGAGAAGAGGCTGGAACAGGAAGGAGCAGGAGGGGGTGGGGCAGAGTCGGGGCTGGAGGCTCCTGCCTGGGTATCTGGCTAATGGGGGCTGGAACACCATTTCGGGGGGAGCAGGCGCAGGGTGGTTGGGGGTTCGGGGTCTTGGGGTGTGACCGGGCCCAGACCCTCAGGACATCGGGGAACCTCCTTGGGGAGACTCGAGGGTGGCTCCTTGGACTGCTTGGTGTGGGGAAGGAGCAAAGGTCTGGGAGTCACCCAGACCCCAGGACCCCTCTAGAGATGAGCTAATCCCGAATACCCCCTTTCCTGGAAAAACAACAAAACAGAGACCCAGTGTTTCCTTGAAGCTGCCTTCTTTGGGCCAGAGAGAGCACCAGAGAGCAAGCACTGGATAAAGACGTCGGCCTCGCTGCTGCTGGTTTTGGGACACAATTTCCCAAAGCGCGGCTGGGAGCAGCCCCCAGCTCTGCTCAGTGCCCCCGAAGGAATTGGCCTGCTCTAATGAACCTAGAGAAAACACCCACCCCAAGCCCAATTATTCCAGCGCCCAGGGCAGTATCAGACACTTTATCTTGTTTTTTTCTTGGGGGGGGGGGAGCCACACCCGGCAGTGCTCAGGGCTTCATCCTGGCTCTGCACGCAGGGATGACTCCTGGTGGGCTTGAGGGACCCTGTGGGATGCTGGGATTCACCTGGATCAGCTGCTTGCAAGGCAAACACCCTCCCGGCTGTTTTATGGCTCCAGCCCCAGTGCCCACCACTGCCCTGTAGATTCTCTAAAACATCCTGTCCATGGCACAGGCGGGAAGACTGAGGCCCAGAGAGGAGAGTGGACACTGGCTGACCTGGGGGAACCCCCGTGCACAGGCTTCAGCCCCTGGTCGCAGTCCCGGAGCCCAGGCCCTCCCATACCGGAAGGAGTGGGCTCGAGCACCAGATCCGGGTCTGTTGGGTTGGCTTGGGAACGGGGTGGGGGGGGGGCGGGGAGCAGGGAGTTTTTGTTTTTCTATAAATATATTTCAGTCCAGTAGGTTCTTTTTTTTTTTTTTTTGCCTCTAATTTTGGCAAATTGATCCGCCATCCCGTTTCCTCGCCACATTCATACCAGGTATCTGACTTACACGCGTCTGCGCACCTTCTGGAGGCGGCTGGGCTCCCCTCCCCCAGTCCTTGATCCTCTTTTGCAACTTTTATTTTTCTAGAGCAGCTTATTTTGAGAGACAATTTACATATCTTATGATTCACCCATTTAAAGTGGCCAATGGCTTCCTCAGACTCCCGGCTCTGTACACAGACCCACAATCGCTTTTAGAATATTCTGGAAAACCAGAACCAGCGCTCCTGCTCTGGCATCCCTCACCCCGAGCAACCCCTTGCCTCTACCATTTTGCCCCTTTTGGGTCATTTCTTGACCTTCATGGAAGCGAAAGGCCAGGCGCGCTGCGGGTGTTGGCTCGCTCCTGATGCCATGTGTGCGGAGACCCCCCAGCTGCATCTGACATAGGAAGTTTCTGCACCTCCACCAGGTCCCGTGTCACCTCTGTGCCCCCGCCCCACGCCTTAACCTCTGCTCTGCCGAGGGCCTGCCCTGTTTGATGTCGTCTGTTGTGTTGTTCACTTCACGATACAGTGAGTTCATCTGAGTTCATCTGGGCTTGGGCCTCCTCCCTCAGATTACTTTACGCACTCCGCTGCCGCCAGTAACTCACTTTCTTTCTTATGGGAGGCTTCCAGGCAGATGAACTGGGTGCCCCTCTCAATGTGAGTGCCTAGGCCCTGCAGTGCCAGGGGTTCCCGCAGGCCGGCCTTGGGGGGCTCCAAGCCTGCCCTGGCAAGTGACAGGGGCGGCCTGATGCAGAGATTGAGTGGGGCCAGCTGGGTGAAAGGCAGGCACCTGGGTCCCTCTCTCCAGTCCTGGGGTACTTTTCCTAAAGAGTGTGTGTGTGTGTGCGTGTGTGTGTGTGTGTGTGTGTGTGTGTGTGTGTGTGTGTGTGCGTGAGTGTTGTGTGTTCTTGAGCCAATCCGGAGATGCTCAGAGGTTACTCCTGACTCTGCATTCAGGAATCACTCATGGTGGTGCTCAGGGAACCATATGGGATGCTAGGGATTGAACCCGGGTCGGCTGCATGCAAGGCACGCTCCCCGCGGACGGTCCCCTCCCATTGTACCATCGCTCTGGCCTCAGTTTTTCTTCTGCTTCAGCAGCTGGCGTGGAGCCCTCCCCTGGGCCCGTGACCCAGTCCCCAAGGCTCCGGGTGCCCGGCAGCGCGGCCCCTCTCTCATCTGCAGCTGCCCTGCTGCTTGGCATCTTCACTTCACCACACACCACCCACACGGTGCCTCCAGAGACCCGCCTCTTTACCTGCAGCCCCCTATGTGACGTTCTCAGCAAAGGCCCTGCAGGGCACCGGGCACAGGCCTCCATTTGGCACCTCCTCTCCCTCCTCTTTGTTCCTAAGAGATTCCAGGCCAGCTGGAGCGATGGGCGTTTGCCTGCACGTGGCCAACCCGGGCCAGATCCCCAAAACTCAGGCACCGCTAAGGTCCCCGAGCCCTGCCAGGAGTGATCTCTGAGTGCAGAGCCAGGAGGAAGCCCTGAGCACCGCCAGGTGTGGGCTTGTATAAAAGAATCCGGGCCCTGGACCCCAGAACACCCCCCATTCCACAATGACCCGTGCTAGGGGGCTTTGAGAGCCTAAATCCCCACCCCTCCATGTGGGCCCTGCAGGTGTGGCCCCGGTTAAGCACGAGGAAGGATGCCACATCCCAGGGCCCGGGACTGGGCCTCCTGCCTCGGAGGGGTCCACGCAGGTTCCAGGTGACACGTCTACTGTCCATCCCTGCAGACTGGGGCCAGGACAAGCTGCGCCGCCACCCACCGGTGCTGCACATGGTCCTGGAGGCCCTTCGGGCTACGCAGCACCCCAGGGGCACCTCAGTGGCCGCCATCAAGGTCTACATCATGCACAAGTACCCCACAGTGGACTTTCTCCGGCTCAAGTACCTGCTTAGACAGGCGCTGGCCACGGGCATCAGCCGCGGCCTCCTCACCCGGCCGGCCAACTCCAAGGCCAGGGGCGCCACTGGCAGCTTCAAAGTGAGTTCGGCTCAGGGCCACTCCCTGCTCCCCTCCCGTAGGCCCTGGCGTGGGGGTTTGGGGGTTCATAGCCCCTCCCCAGGACGGGGCAGAGCCTAGCTAGGGTGCAGTCTGTCAGGGCTCTGGGGACTGTTCCCTGCGTTCTTGGTTCCAAATGCGGGGCCCAAGGAGGCCCAGCCAGAGCTGAGCATGGACTTGGCACAAAATTCCCAGTGCCCCCAGGGAAATACTGTGGTGGTCGCTCTAAGGCCGCTTGTGGCTGGCACCCGACAATCGTGAGAGAGCTCCGGGCCCCGTCCCATACCCTGCCCTATGGTCCTTACGAGGCCGAGCACGAGTCCCATCCTGGACAGGGTGGCCGGCTGGTCCCAGGTCCCAGTCAAAAAAAGCCCGAGGGCCAGGGGTGTCGCAGTGGAGCTGTTTCTAGCTTGGGGTCGGGGGACAAGGTCAGCAGAGCAGGGCTGTAAAAGGTGAAGCCTCAGTGACCCAGGGCCCCACTGCACAGACGGGAAGACTGAGGCTGGTGGACGCGTCTCCAGTTGGGAGGCAGCGGGCAGAGGGCCGGTTCCTGCGGCTCGACTCTGGAGCGTCACAGGGCAGAAGAGTCAGAGTTCCCCATGTGTGAGGAAATGGGGGGGTGGTCTGTTCCTTGGGCCGGCTTTGGGGCTCTGGCCCCAGCAGCTGGGAATATGCAGGGAGAGGGTGAGGGGGGCCGGCACCCACCCAGGGAGGCAGAGGCAGGCAGGGAGAAGCCAGTGCCCACCCACATGGGGTCCCGCCTTCTCCCCAGGACCCCTCGTCTCTCGGGTGCCTTCTCTGCCCCCTCCATCTGCTCCAGCCTTCTGCTGAGTCTCCCGTGGGCTCTAGAGCGGGGATGGGGGAAGGTCCGGTCCCCTATTCTCAGCAAGGCCCCCCCTTCTCTTCCTCTCCAGCTAGTTCCCAAGCCCACAAAGAAAATCCAGACCAAGAAGACGTGCCCCAAAACAGTCCCTAAAAATCCTGGGGAGGCCAAGGAGCAGGACCCCAAGAGACCTGGCAAGGCCAAAAAGGATCTTCCCAGCCCAGGCCAGGCCAAGAAGGACCCCAGGAAGCTGGGGGAGCACAAGGCCTCTCTCCCCAAACCCGGAGCAGCCAAGGACAAGCCCCCCCGAAAGGCCAGCGAGACCAAAAAGGGCCTTTCCAAGCCAGGCCAGGGGCAAAGGGGACCCCAGAAGGCAAGTGAGGGAAAGGGGGCTCACGTGAAACCCAGCACGGCTGAGAAGGCCCCCCAGAACGGCAGCCAGACGAAGGGCTCCAAGGCCGGGACAGGCTCCCAATACCCCGGCAAGGCCAGCAAGGCCCCCCAGCACCCCGGCAAGGCCAGCAAGGCCCCCCAGCACCCCGGCAAGGCCAGCAAGGCCCCCCAGCACCCCGGCAAGGCCAGCAAGACCCCTCCCAGTGGGAAGTCAACGGCCGCAGGAGGGAGGACCCAGCCAGGTAGGTGTCTGCGGGGGGTGCAGGGGTGGGGGTCAGGGGTCAGGGGTCAGGGCGGGGGGAGCCAGCAATTCTGGGCTGTGTGGCAGGATAAGATGCCTGCTCTGAGGAGGATGTTTCTTGCTCCTGTGAAAGTATCTGACACGACCTGCCAAGGCTGGGGGTAGCTGGGCGCGAGCGGGGCGGGCCTCCATGGAGGAGCCTGGGAGGTGTCAGAGGCGGCTTCCTGGAGGAGGTGTCCCAGGCAGGAGCTCAGCCTGTGCAGAGGCTTGAGGCAGAAGGAAGGGGCGTGTGTAGCAACTGCGGCCAGTACTGTCTGTGGGCTGCTGGGAGGCTGAACCGGGTCCCTGAACCCCCCCCACACACACACCCCCACAGCTCTGCCTGATGTGGGTCCATCCCTCTGCACCCGCCGCCCCACAGGTGCTGATGTCCACAGGAAAACCAAAGTGAAGAACAGGAGCTCCAAGCCCACCAGCAGCAAGGTAGGTGCCTCACACCTCCTAAGGCGGCGCCGGGTGCGGGTGCGGGGAATACGTTGCCCCCGTATGTCCCCTCCGCACCCCCTGGGACGGCCCCAGCCGGGCCCCAGCCCTGCCTGCCCGGGGTTGTTTTCTTCTAGAGCAAGAATGGTGCTGTGTCCCCCTCGGGAAAGGAGGTGAAGTCGCAGGGGCCGGGGCAGCTGCCAAAAGCCAAGGCCTGAGGGTCTCTCCGAGGCCTCCTAAGGGTAGTGTGGCCCAGTGGGAGCCTGCACCTCTGGCCAGGAAGAAGATGGACTTGAGCCCCAAGGCCTCAGCAGCCGTGCCGGACAACCGGTGTCAGAGGCCAAGAACTAGGGGTCAGGGAGGGAGAGACGGAGATTCCAAAGGAGTTTTATTTCCACATGCCATCACTGGCTCGTTATAACCTGCTTATCAATAAAGGTGCTTTTGCTTCTCACACAAATTGTGTGGCTGAGGTTTAAGAATTTGGTCTCGGGGCTGGAGTGATAGCACAGTGGGTAGGGCGTTTGCCTTGCACACGGCCGACCCAGGTTCAATTCCCGGCATCCCATATGGTCCCTTGAGCACCGCCAGGAATATTTCCTGAGTGCAGAGCCAGGAGTAACCCCTGAGCATCGCTGGGTGTGACCCAAAAAGCAAAAAAAAAAAACCATTGGTCTCAGGGCTTAAATAGTTGGGAAGACTGTGCCCTAAAGGGAGCTGGTGCAGGGCCCTGAGGGGAGGGTACCAGAAGGTTCCATGCAACCTGAAGTCTTCGAGGACTTCTTGAAAGAGGTGTTTTTTTTATTTTTATTTTTTTTGGCAGGGGTGGGGGTCACACCCAATGGTACTTGGGGGCCATACCCAGGCCATGCAGTGCCAGGGAGCACACCAGGGCTTGTGCATGTTCTTCCGTCCTTTGAGTACACTCCCGGCCTAGTGACCTTTGGTCTGAAAGGGTGACAGGAGAGATGTCACAGTAGCATCAGGGTGGGGTTGCAGGGGCGGGGAGGGGCATTGGGAAGCACTGGCGGCTCAGAGGGGCAGAAGCCCCTCGGGAAGCCCCTGGCCCTGCTCAGATCCACAGGGACGCCCTTCCAGGCCTCGGCCCAAAGACCCGCATGCTCGGAGGGGTCTGGCTGACTTGACGGTGTCTGTCTCCCGCCACCAGGCAGTGACCCCCAGTCTCTGGGCCAGGCCTCGGCTGGCCTTCTGCTTCTTGTGTGGTTTAGTGATGTTCTGAGAGCTCGGCTGCCCGCTCTGGGGCCCCCAGGGGTCACTTCCAATAAGCAGCCCAGGGGTCACCACCTGGGGTCCTCAGTCGAGCTGCCCAGTTGACATACAGGGACAAGAGGCCGGCCTTCCCCCTCCAGCCTGCCCTGGCTGCAGGCTTCTGATCAAGGTTAATGGTGTGAAGGGACAGTGGGTCATGTGACCACCAGGCAGGACTTTGGGTCCATCATCATCGTGCTAAGGGGCCACTGGAGGTCAGTTGGCAGCACGGGGACTTCAGGGGGCCCCACCGCGTGGCAGGACCAGTGACGAGCCCCCACTCAGGGTGCATATGACTGTTTGGTGCTTGGTGCCGGATTTGTGGGCAGGAGCTGCTGAGATGGTCAGTCATGCCGTGTGAGCGGAGGTGGGACCTTGAGGGCAGGGAGATGATCAGGATCAAAGGGAAACTGAGGCCACCCATCCGGGCATTGCTGCCTTCCTGCTCCCCGAGGTCCCCGCCTTCTCCGCCCTGAGTCCCACGGAGAGGCTGTCTGTGCCGGAAACTTCCCTGGTGTGGGGGTGGGGGGCCGCGAGCAGCCGTCGGGGACCGGGCTGGGCTGGCGTCTGTCTCTGTTCCCGGTGTGGGCTTGGCGGTGTGGCTGAGGGCGCTCCCCGGCCATCTCCTCTCCGGAGGCCAGGCAGTGTCCAGCCCCCGAGAGACGTGGGCAAGTCCCCGGCTCCCTCGGGGGACGGGAGCCCCCGGTGCTAGGAGTGCCGGCAGGACGGGCAGCTCCCAGGAGCCAGCCACCGTCTGTGCCGAGAAGTGACCCCGGCAGTTCGAGAGCGCCTCCACGTGCAAATGTATTCCTGCCTCGACGCGAGAAGGGCCTGCATGCTAATCAGCGGGAGAACAGGCTGCGGAATATTTAATGACACGGAAAGATGCCGTCGACATATTGTCGCTCGCGGGGGGAGGCGGCAGCAGGTTACACAGTGCTGCGCGCACCCCGCTCCCACTCGTGCCCGGCCCCCGCCCCCCGCCGCCGCACGCGGCGCAGAAAGGGGGTTCTGGGAGCTGCAGCGAGCGCCAACCCCCTCTGCTCACCGTGCCGGCTGACATTTCTCCAGGAGACGCTTTCCTCCCTCGGATCGCAGGCACGCACGCAGGCACACACAATCCCGATCAGATGTGTCAATAACGGGAAATCTGCTGCTTAATAAAAAAGGAATCTGTGCTCCGAACGGAAGATTGGAAACTGTGGAGAAGCCGCTCGGAGGAAAAGGCTATTTGGGGAGCTAAAAATAGTTTTTTGGGTTTTGTTTCTTTTTTTTCTTTTTCTTTCTCTTTTTTTTACTTTTCTCACTTTTTCTGTTCTCATTAATTCTAGAACTGGTGCTGGTGGGATTTTGCTTGGATCGCAGGAATTTTCCTGTCCCAGTTTTCCTCCCGATCAGCGGGGCGAGCATTTTCCTTTCATGAAGGGCTGAGATGAGCCTGCCGGGTTGGAGATTATCTGTCTGGTGACCTTGGTTGGGGCTGGGGGATTAACCTTGCCCCGGGTTCAAGTCCAGAGTTCACTCATAAGGCTGGGGTGGGGTAGGGTGTGGAGGGGTCTCTGTGGCGCCTCTTGTCCCCAAGTTCAGCTGCTCAGGGCCTTCGCCTGCCCACTGGCAGGGGCCCAGGTTACTGGGGGAAATGGAGCAATGATAGATTTTTCCAGAAACGGGTGAGAAACTGAGGGCCTGAGTGTCCCACTTGGCCTAGGCGGGAGGAAGAAGGCCCTTGCCAGTACATGTCCCTGCTGCAGTGGTCCAGCAAGGTGACCCAGGAAGGCCCCCACTGTGCAGGGACTCCCCGTCAAGCTGGTTCCCACCTGGTCCCGGCTCCCCAAACTCGCTCTGCCCAAACCCTGGGGAGGAGCATGGTGGTGGGGGGGAGGGGTGCCAGCCCCTCTCCTCCTGCCCGTTCCCCCCCGCCCCCCCCCCCCCGAATAAAGCTGCTCACTCACGGTGGGCTTTCCCATCAGGCTTTTATTATAAAGAAAGTTCCAGAGAGTCTTGGCGGCCACCGGCTTCCAGCCCAGCACCCGTGGGCTCCTGGCCAGGCCCGGAGCAGGCTGGGTCTTGTTCGGGGGAGCCCGGCTTGTGGTGGGAAGAGACGGGGGGTCTCTGGGGCGCCGGGGCTGGTGCTGCCTCTGGAACCCTCATTTCCAGTGTCGCGTCGGGGGGCCCTGGGGCCGGCGGGGCGCTCTGCTCAGCGGTGGATTCACAGTTGGCGCATGATAAGGTTCTTAATATATAAAAGCTTTTTTTTTTTTTAAAAAATAAAGGAGGAGGGAAAAAACCCCACGAAACACAAACAACAAACAGTGGCGCTGTCTTCAGAAACACTCCAGCAAGATCAAGTCACCCGGCTGCAGCCATGCTGACCCCAGGCCGGGTCGACCCAGCGCCCGGTTCCTGCGGGCTGGTGGGCACCTGGCACTGCCCGAGGGCCACGGGCACTGCCCAGCCCACCAGGCCCCGCTGGGTCCCACCTAATCTGACCCTGCTCAGAGTGGCGGCCGGGCTCTGGGAGGCGGGGCTGGACCCGGGCCGAAAGCCCTCCTGCCCGCATGAGGTAGTGTTTCCCGCGGGGCCCCGGGGCCGCCCCGTCCCTGCCAGCCTGTGCGCTGCTCCGGGCCGCTGACCGTCCAGGCGGGGCTGGGCCAGCAGCAGCAGCAGCAGCAGCAGCAGCAGCGGCTCGGGAGCCTTCCCGGGACAGAACGTGGCATTCCAGTGCCCAGGTGGGGGTCCAGGGTCAGGTGGGAGGCAACGCGGAGCCCGAGGGCCGGGGCTGGGGGCTCCCGACGGCACAGAGGTGCCCCCTGCACGCTCAGGCCTCGCTGTAGCACTCGTAGATGTTGTCCTCCATCAGGGCCACCACCTGCTCGAACTTGTGCTGCAGCTGCGTCCTCCGGGCCGTGGGGTTGGCCTCCAGGGCGGCCATGATCTGGGGGCCCGGGGAGGGGGAGGGGGCGCTCAGCTGGTGGGAGCCGGACCCCTGCCTGCCCCTCCACGCCGGCTACCGGCTCTGGAAGCAAAGGGCGCCTCCCCTGCACCCCCCTTGCTGAGTGGAGGCTCGGGTGGGCGGCCCTGGAAGGGGGATGCCGGGGGCGGGGGGGGGGGGCGCTCACCTGAGGGCGGTACCTCTTGGCGTATTTGTAGATCTCGGTCATGGCCACGCTGGTGTTGAACTCGTTCTGGTATTTCTGCGGGTGCAGGGAAGGGGTGCATGAGCAGCGCCCGCAGCCGCACAGCCCCACCCCATCCCTGCCCTGCCCTGCCCTGCCCCCACTCCCCCTGCCCCGGCCCGGTGCCTACCCGGGACTCCTCGGCCAGATGCGCGTTCATCTCCTGCTCGCTGAGCGGCGTCATGTCGTGGATCTGCTTGTAGTAGCGCTGCACGATCTTGCGGTACTCGGGGATCTCCTTGGCGTACAGGAGCTTGTTGGTGGGTGAGTCCTGGGCACAGGGGGGCAGACGCCGGTGGGCACAGGGCCGCTGTGTCTCCCATCCCTGGCTGCCTGCGCTACCTCTGCGGCCCTCGAGGATGCCTCCTCGGGTACCATGGCTGCTCTGCGCCCTCGGGGCATGGCTCTTTCTTGCCCCCAGGGCCTGTCCGAGCAGGTGCCCACATTCACCCTTACCTCTGACCTGGGCTCCAGGCACCCCAGGCTACTGTGACAACCTGGTGCTTCTGGCTGCCTCCTGGGCCCCAATGCTCCCATTCCCCTGGCACCCCAGACCCGTGTCTGTGAGGCCCCACACTCGGCCCCGCACCCACCTTGCCCAGTTGGAGGTCGGAGATGGAGCAGGCGTCGATGAAGGCCTGGGCGATGACCGACAGGCAGGCGTCCATGTGGTCCGTCTTGTCGATGTCGAAGACGAACTGGGGGTTCTTCAGGATGTTCACCCAGAACCGGAGTGGGAGGCTGGGGGGTGGGGTGGGGACGGGAAATGAGCCCTGGGCGGGCAGTGGCCCAGCGCCGAGGGTGGGCTCTGTGGGCGTATTTCCGGCACAGAGGCCCGGGTGGAGCTGCAGGGCCAGGCGGGTGCTGGGGGTCTGTGTCCGCCCCCATGCGCCGGAGTTCCCGTCTCCCACGTCTCGCGCAGGGTCCTGCTTCACATCAGGAATCTCCCTCCTGCCCCGGCACCCGGCTCCTCCTCCCTCACAACAGCAGATCTGCCGTTAGCTGGGGACACGAGCGGCCAGGGAGGGGCCTGGTCAGGCCTGGGGAAGCCCAAGGGGGCTGGCCACCGCCTCCTGCAGACATCTGAGGAGCTCCTGTGACTGCCCAGGAACTTCGGGATGGAAACATTTCCTTTTTGTTGTTGTTAGTTTTTTTGGGCCACACCCTGTGATGCTCAGAGCTGACTCCTGGCTCTGTACTCAGAAATTACTCCTGGTGGTGCTCTGGGGATCATATGGGATGCCAGGGATCGAACCCCAGGTCAGCTGTGTGCAAGGCTAATGCCCTCTCCACTGTCTTATTGCTGAGAGCCTCTGTGGGGCATCTGTCACCCTCAAAGCTAAGATGTGCTTCGGACAAGGGTCTGAAGTCCCAGGGTGCTGTGACGGGAAGGGTGTAGTGAGCCCGTCCGCAAAGCGCTCGCTCTGGCTGGACAGCTGCCTGACCTGAGCATAGAGAGGTCAGTTCACTGCTGGAGGTCACACAGCGGGCTGGCCCTGCTCTGGGCCCCTATCTGGGAACCATCTCCTCCACCCCGGCCCTACCTGTTGGTCTTCCAGATGTGCAGCGTGTCTGGGTCCGAGATGCCCCTCTTCTCGGCCTGTTCCTCCAGGAAGTCGAAGAAATACTTGACGGCCAGCGGGGGCTTGTCCTCACGGATACTCAGGATGGCCTTAAACAGGTCGTCCAGAAACTTCTGCAGCGTGCCCTGGGGTGGGGAGGAGGGGAAGGGGGCGCTGTCAGTCCAGGACCTCCTGTGGCAAGTGAGTGGTGACCCCACCATCCCGGGGAGGGAAGAAAAGCACCCTGGGTCGGCTCCCAGCCTGTGAAATAGGTTGGGGACCTTCCCCGGGGTGTGGAAAGGACTGACCCACATAAGGAGGCGCAGAGCAGAGGTAGGCGGGCCCCTGGGCGAGGCCCCGCACCTTGGTGGACAGCAGGCGCGTCAGGTAGATCTCGGGGAGGACCTTCTTGCGGTGGCTCTGCCGGTGCGACTTCTTGGGCTCCGCCAGCTCATCCGTGGGCAGCACCTGGACGGGGGTCAGTGGGTGCCGGCCCTGGGCGCCCGCCCCTGCCCCCCTGCACGTGAACGAGACTCCCGCTGACTCTGGGGCCTGGCGCTCTCCCCCGGGCACCCCCCTCTTTCCCAGGGCCTGGGAGTCCGTTGTGGGGGGGGCTGGGGCGGCAGCAGGCCAGGCCACACCCAGGGAGGGGGCGCCCGGGGCGAGAGGCGGGCACTCACCAGATGGAAATACTTCTCCGTGTCCAAGTCTTTCACTGCGGGTGGAAAAACACACAATAAATAAACAAGAGGAAGGCGAGGGGAGAGGAACGGAAAGGGGGCGCGGGGAGGCGGTCCAAGGAGACTGCGGAGACACAGACAGACAGAAGGACAGACGGACGGAAGCAGGCAGAGACCCGGGAGAGGGTGCGAGAGGGGGAGGGGAGAGGCCTGGGGTCCCAGAAGCTGCCTTCACGGCCCTCCCCCCATGCTCCTGTCAGTCCCAAGGGTGGGGGGATTCAGCGTCCGAGAGACCCGAGGCCCAGGGGTGCCTGGGACTGGCCCAGTGGCCTGGCCGGGGGGCTCTGAGGGTGTGGACAGAGGAAGGACAGCCCGAGACACAGACCCAGCGGCCTCCCCTTGGATTGGCAGGGCTTCAGCAGCCAGCCTCACGCTGGGGCCTCAGTTTCCCCCAGGCCCCCGTCGGCCAGAACTACCTCTGCCCCGGGTGTTGTCCTTCTTGTCCGTGAGGCTCATGGCCAGGGAGGCGCCTTCAGGGATCTGAAGGGAAGGAGGGGCAGAGGTCAGAGGTCGGGGGGGCAATGGTGGGGGACAGGAGGGCCGGCGCCCACCTTGTAGTGGGCCAGTGTGTTGAGTTTCTTGCGACCATCCTCAACCACCGAAGTGTCGTCCAGGTCCCGCAGGATGTAGCTCTGGGTGCTGGAGGCAAACCACTCTGGGCACAGAGGGGACAGATGGTCAGGCCCCGCCTCCGCTGCGCTCAGTGGACAAAGCATCTACCAGTCTCCTGCCCCCACCCCACACCCCCCACCCCGCAGTCCCAGGGAGTCACCAAGTTCTGCACTTTTGCCCCTTCACCCTCACAGTCACCCCCACAGCCCAGGGAGTCCGACAGCAGAATGAGTGGCTTCAACATCTTGCCGTTCCCAGACTCCTATGCAGCCTTCAAAACCCACTCCCGCATGCCCTGTGCGGGGACGCCCTTCTGGCACAGAGCGGGGAGAACCAGGTGATTCACGCGCAGGTCCCCCACCCCCGGCCCACCCAGGTCGACGTCCTCGGCGCGTGGCCACTGCGAGTAGGGGACGTTCTTGCAGAAGGCTTCTAGAATCTTCTCCTTCACCTGGGTCAGCGTGTCAGTGTCCATGGCCCGCACGCTCAGCGAGTCCATGCCACAGCCCTGGAAGGACACGTTCAGGTTCTGCAGGAGAGAGCCAGAGGGTGAGTGATGCGTGGGGGCCAGCAGGGGCCTGGCTTCTCCTCCCTCCCCCGACCCTCCCCCTCCCCCTCCTTACCCTCCCTTCCCCCTCCGTGCTCCTCCCGCAGTGCTCACCCGGGGCTTGGCCTCGATGTTCTCCCGCAGCAGCCACTCCTCGTTGAGGGTGTAGCGGGCCTTGCCGGTGATGGCGTCGATGGAGCCCTTGTTGACCTGCTGCTTGATGGCGCACAGGAGCAGGAAGAAGGGCTCCCCAACCGTCTCCTGGGAACGCAGGGTGGTCAGTGCGGGCAACGGGGCCACCAGCCCTCCCCACTGGGTCCCACCCCATCCTCCACCCGGGGGTTCTCCCTGGGCTCTCAGTGGACCTGTGCTAATGCTCCTGACACCCCAGGGACCCCTCCGGTCCCAGTGACTGGTCACTGCCAGGGCTCTGAGGGGCGAGGCACCCCAAGGACACAGGGTCAGCCAGGGCAGAGCTGGGCCCCACCCCCCAGAGGACGAGCCCCCAGCTGGAATGGGGCCCTGAGAGCTCAGCAGAGCTGCAGGACTGAGCGTCGCTTTACAGAGAGAGATGGTAGCAGGCCTGGGCTGGGGGGGGGGGGCCCAGCAGGGACCTGGGTCCGGGTCCCCCTTGGCCTGACGCTTCCTGCTCCTGAGGCCCCAAGGGAAACAGAGCAGAGGTGACACGTGGCAGGGCCCGGGCCGCGGGGTGCTGGGGTCACAGCTGGGGCACCCACATGCAAGACTGCTCAGTCCTCTGGGTCACCCTTAATCTCACTGCTGCCCCCAGGCCGCAGCCCACCCACCCCTTGCGTGGACCCCTGCCGCAGCGCCCCTCACCCTCAGGCAGCTGTACATGCAGATGGACATCCAGTTGGTCAGCATCTTCTCCACCACCGACTCGGTGCGCCGCAGCATGAGCTTGGGGTTCTTGGCAGCCGAAGCGTCGATGAGGTCGACCAGCAGCTCCTTCATGATGCCTGTGTAGTATTCCAGCTTGCCGTGCAGCGCGATGGTCAGCAGCGATGCCAGGCTGCACCTGCGTGGGCACAGCTGTCAGCCCGGCGGGGCCCGGTCCGGCCCGGCCTGGGGGTGCAGGACACGGGATGCAGGGCACGGGGCGCGGTCACACCTGTCGCGCACGGCGAAGTCCTTCTGCTGCTCCAGCGCGTGCACAAAGACGATGAGGAAGTGCTTATTGTTGAGCAGAGACGAGAAGAGGCCGATGCCCTCCTCCATATGCGGCCGGCAGCTCTCGGGGACCTGGGGGCGTAGCAGGGCCCATGTCTGCCCACGGCTAGGGCTCGGCACCGGCCAAGCGGGAAGCTCGCCACCCTAAGCTGATGGGCACCTCTGACTCCCCAGGAGTGCCACAGTCAGTGGCGGGACCAGAGGAGCTTAGAGAACGAGCCAGAACCTGGCAGCGGGGCCCTGGGCCACTCAGGGGTGCCTGTTTCCCCCCCCCCCCCGACCTTGGCCCCGAGGCCAGCACTCAGTGACTACTTGAATGCCCCCTGGGACGGAGCGCTCACTCCCCACCAGATGCCGCACAACTGCGCCCCCACCAAGTGATGGAGTGTGCTGGAAGTGGAGGCTGATCCTGAGGCCCCACAGTGCGTGTGCATGTATGTGTGTGTGCATACATGTCCACATGCCTGCATGTGTGTGCACAGTTGTACACATGTCTGCATGTGTGTGCAGCATGTACCTGTGTCTGCCTGCGTGTGTGCTTGCTTGCACAGTGTATGCATTTGCGTGCCTGTACGTGTGTGCACGGGCTCAGGCCATGCGGGGTACTCACCCTCCACTCCCCCAGCAGCGGGTGGGTCTCCTGCACGGGGGCACTGCCCTGAGAGTTGAGGGTCTGGGAGGGTAGGACGTAGCGCTCTTCGTTGAGGGAGGAGCACTGTGAACAGAGGCCCCAACTGCTCAGCAGAGCTGCAGGACTGAGCCTCGCTTTACAGAGAGATGGGGCGGGGGTGGGGCCCAGGGGTCCCTCGAGATCAGGAGCAGAGTCTGGGGGGGAGAAACGGGGGCGCTGGGGGCTGTGGTGGCAGCACACGGGCGCACAGCAGCTGGGTGTGGGCAGAGGCTGGTGGAGGCCAGCAGGACCAGGCGTGGGCAGCCGCGAGGAGGAAGGGACAGATCCCGATGACACCATCTGGGCTGTGCTGGCTTCCCGGGGCAGGAGTCAGGGTTGTGGGGTCCCCAGGAAGCCTGGGCACGCAGGGGCACAGAGAGGAAACAGGGCGGCAGTGTGCGTGGGCCCCCTCGGTGGGGGAGAGGCCGGGGAAGTGGGGCCTGGCGTCCAGCTTCCACTGGATGCCCAGCGAGGGGAGAGGGGCCAGGGCTGCACGGGCCAGGCGTGCAGGTTGTGCACTGCTCCATGGGCCCTGCCCCAGGAGAGCCAAATCGCCCATCTGCACAACAGGGTCCCGGGGCTGGCAATAGCCCAGAGAGGCCAAGAGGTCCGGGGTTGCGGGCGCGGCGCGGGCTGACCTTGGGAAAGAAGGTGCGTGTCACAAAGTGCTTGTACTCCAGGAAGGGGATGCCCTGGCTACGGTTCAGCTCCTTGGTCAGGTCCGTCATGTCCGTCTGCAGCTCGGCAAAACCTGGCGGGCAGGTGGGCGCATGTGGCGGTCCGGGCCCCACGGTGCAGCCCCTGTGGATGCCAGGGGCCCCTCTCCCGGGCCCCCCCAGCCCCCTCCCCCCCACCTTTCCGGATTTCCTCGCGGATCTGCGACTCCATCTCCTCCATCTGCAGCAGCGTCTTCTGCCAGTAGCGCTCGGCGCGGCGGCTCTTGGTGCAAAAGACGAACAGAGCTGGGGGGGGCAGGGAGAGGGGGCTCAGGCCCGGGATGCTCCTGGGGGAGCGGGGTCAGCCCTGGGCCTGGCGGGAGGGGCAGGAGTATCACACCCCCCCACTTAAACATCAGCTCTCGCGAGGGTTTAAGTGAGGGGGTGTTTTCTGTTCTGCTTCGGAGCCTTTTACAATTCTTTCTACGATGATCAGGGTTACCTTATGAATTATATATAGCAGTGATAGCACAGCGGGAGGGCGTCTGCCTTGCACGCAGCCAACATGGCCGACCCGAGTTCGATTCCTCCGCCCCTCTCGGAGAGCCCGGCAAGCTACCGAGAGTATCTCGCCCGCAAGGCTGAGCCTGGCAAGCTCCCCGTGACGTATTTGATATGCCAGACACAGTAACAACAAAGTCTCCAATGGAGACGTTACTGGGCCCGCTTGAGCAAATCGATGAACGACGGGAGGGCCGTGACCTTATTCATATTTACATATATTGTACTGGAAATTAAATCTCCAGCCCCATACATTGTAAGGCGAATGCCCTACTGCTAAGCTAACTCCCCTGGCCAGAGAAAGATTTAAAAGCAGATTATAAAGCAGTTTTACGTTATAATCATTATAATCCCTTTCTGGGATGATTACATAACCCCTTCCTGGGTTTATCTAGAACGTATAATATAGTAAATAGTACATGGAGCACTTTACGGAGAAGGAAGTACACCAGGTGTTAATGACGGGCGTTTCCCTTTAACAACGCCCCCTCCCCCCAACCCCCCCCCCCACCCCGGTTTTCTATGCTCCTATTTACTTCTTTGGCAATAGCTTTAAGGAGCGGGAACGAGCAGCCTCATAACCCAGCGGCTCCAGTGGGCAGCCAGTGGCTTTGGGTAAATTCCCCGGGTTGTGCAACGCCTCCCAGATCCTGTTTCAGAGCCCAGCCAGGCCGGGCCCTCCCCACAGCCCACGCCCGCCCACCAGGGGTCCACTCTGGACACGCCCCCTGCATCACGGCCGGTGTGGTCCTTCCTGCCAGTGGCCTCCCTCACTTAACTGCGATTCTCAAGGTCCCCCACGCCCCGTCCACCCCATTCCTGTTCAAGGCTGAACAATAGCCCATTGTCTGGACGAGCCCACGTTCTGCTTCTCCGGCCCCCATGGGTGGACATGTGGGTCACTTCTGCCTTCTGGTGAGCGTGACTAATGCTGTGGCCCACAAGCGCGAGTGCATTTTTTTCCTTCTCTGCGCAGACTTGGGTTTTCAGTTCTCTGGGGCACGTTCCCCGGAGGGGGGTCCCGGGGTCACATGCGAACCCTGTTTCACATCCTGAGGAACTCTTTCCACGGTGACTGTGCCATTGGGGCCAGGAGTGGGCGGGGAGGAAGCCCTCTCTAGGGGTGCTGGGGGGCCCTGGGGGCACACCCAGGGCTCCTCCAGGCCGAGGCCCTCCCAGCCACCTCCCCGGGCGGTGTTTGCGACACTTAAGTCCCTCCTGCAGCGTCCGACAGTGCCAGCTGCTCTGTGGCTCCGAGTCTGTTTCTGTACCCGTGACTGCAACAGCCAACGGACTGAGCCCGCGTGCGTCACTCGGGGCAGGGTGGGGAGGGGGGGGAATGTCCCTGCTGGCAGGGCACGGCCGCTCCACGTGGGGTCCATGCTGGGCCCAGCACAGTGCACTGCTGCCCTCGCTGACAAACAGCCCCCCTCGGGCTCTAAGCATCCTCCTCCTTGGGACCCTTCAGCCTCCGGCAGTCCCTCTCCCCACCCCCGGGGGGAGCCAGGACTCGGTTATCTCAGCATCCCCAAGAACAAGCCCCCCATTCCTGCACCCTGACCGCAGGACAAAGAACCCATGCGCAGTGCATGCCTCCCAATATCTCCGGAGTATCAGAGCCCCCCACCCCCACTGCCCTCCAAGCCCTGGCCCATGTGTGGGTGTGGGGGTGCTCCGTACCGACCACGGACAGCAGCAGCAGGACGCTGCAGATGACGATGGACACGATGATGGCCGTCTCGCTCCCCCCCAGCTGCAGCGTGGCAATGGTCTGGTTGAAGTTGCCCACCTGGACCTGCATGGGCGGGCGGGACGCTGTCAGCTCGGCCTTGCCGCATGGCCACCTCCAAAGCCACTTACTGTCCCACACACGCCTGCCAGGCTCACGAAAGGGCCTGACCGTAGCCCCAAACCTCTGTGGGGGTGGGGTTCCCTGGGAACAGTTGCGGGGAGAAGTCCAGGGGCAGAGAGAGCTTCTCCACGTGTCCACTGTGTGGCAGGGAGCCCCCCGGCCCAGGGGCATGGGGAAACCATCCCAGCCACTCCTCCTGTCCCTCGCCCTGCGTGGTGGTCCCAGGTCCACAGAGCCCCAGGGGGAACCAGGGTGGCTTCTCCCGGCCTCGCTTCAGGCAAAGCAGATTATTACAACCATGGGCCTCAGTTTCCTCTTCTGTCAGGGGGGCAACCCACAGCTGCACACCTTTGCGACGTGCAAATCCTGGCCCTAACGCGCCAGGTGATGGGCGGTGCAGGGCCGCACGAGGTGGGAGGCCGGGGGTGCCCCGCTCACCGTGATGGGCAGCTGGCCCTCGGCGGTGCCCAGAGACTCGTTGACGGAGCAGTGCAGCACCCTGTCGGAGACGATCTGGATGTCGCAGGCCACCTGCCCGATCCTCACACGGTACTCGTGGCTCTCGAGCCCCAGGCTGTCCTGCTCCTTCTGCGGGGAGATGGTCGGGGATTGTGGGGACCCCCCCACACACACCAGGCACGGCTCCCTCCCCGCAGCACAGTCCAGTGCTCACATGGATGACCAGGGTGAGGGGCTCCCCGGGGTGGTGCCGGATCCACCGCTCCCGCTTGGCTGTGGAGAACTGGGGGTCGGGGAGGTAGTCCAGGCGGAACGGGCTGCTCCGCGGCATCTCCTCGGGGTCCAGCAGTTCCTCGGCCGCGGCCACCTCGTCGGCGTAGGCCCGCCCGTTGATGAAGAAGTCCACAGGTGCTGAGTCATTGCTCAGGGCCCCGGGGGACGGGCAGGTGAGGACAGTGGAGTTGAGAACCTTGCAGAGCTGGGGGCGGGGGGCGCAGAGAAGGCGGGTGAGGGAACCGTTGGCATGGGGGCGTGGCCAAGCCGACCCCCGGGCCCCTGCCTGGCTGCTCACCGTGGGCTCCCGGCCGATGTGGTGCACGGCCATGGACACGTTCTGCACCATGTGGAAGCGCTCCCCGGCCACCGTGATGGTCCTCCCACCGCTGTGAGGACAGCAGCCGTCAGCCACCTGTGCCCGGGGCGGGGACTCGGGGGGCTGCAGTGGGGGGTGCGGGGGGGCTCACCTGACGGGACTGCGGTGGGGGTTGATGGCCGTGATGACCGGATTCCGCATGTACCAGAAGGTCAGGTTGCCGGGCACACAGCCCCGCTGCTCAAAGCGCACACACACAGGTACGGGGGCGGGCAGGGCGCCCCCTGGCACCGTGCAGGTGATGCTGCTGTCTGAGCGCCTGCGGGTGGGGCAGTCTGTGAGGGGCCCCTGCCCGCTGTTTGGGACTGGGCTCAAGGCCTCCTCCATGGCCCCAGGCTATCCCCTCCCTGATGCAGAAACCTTTCTCTACATCACTGTGAACACAGTGTTGCTGGGGGGCCTCCAGAGCACCTCCCCAGGGGCCTGCCACCTCCTGCAAGAAGCCTTCCAAGAGTGTCCTCCTCCTCCTCCCCTCCAGGGCCAAATCCTGCAATGCTCGGGGATCACTCCTGGCAGGATGCGGGGACCATATGGGGTGCTGGGGAATCAAACCCAGAACAGCTGCATGCAAGTGCTCTCCAGCCCCAAGCTTCTCTCTTGAATCCGTCTGGGAGGGAGCATCTCCTCCCCAACTGCTCTCAGGACACGGACCTCTCCCAACCTGAACCTGACCCCGCACCTTTCCATTTCTGGAGGAGCTGGGACCAGGTTGGGGTCCCCAGCACCCCCCCACCAGAGGGCGGGGGCTGGGATGCAGGAAGAGCATCCCATGGGCAGCACTTCACCAACGGGCTCTGTACTGACCCCCCCCCCTCGCGCCTGGCCATGCTCTGGATAGCGAGGGCTCAGCAGGTGTCCTCAGGGCCACAGATGCAGGGCCAAGGCTGGGGTGGCCCTGGGGGCCACTTACACGAGTTCCGTGCAGGGCTCTGTGTCGTTCAGCAGGACCTGGAGCTCTGAGCCCACGTGCAGGTGACTCCCGCGAATGGTGATCCGGGTGCCCCCCGCCTTGGGGCCCATGGCAGGCTCCAGGGAGTGGACTAGGGGCAGCTGCGGAGAGAAGGCTGGCTCAGGCGCTGGGGGTCGCGGGGGCGCGGGATGGGGGCTCGGCCTCCCCTCCTTACCACGTAGGAGAACCGCTGCCGGGACCTGCCCTCCTTGGTCACGTTCACCACCACGACGTCCGAGAAGGGCCCTGGGGCCGGTCCCGTGGCACACACAATCCTGGGGACAGTTGCTCTGCTAAGGGGGTCTGCCCACCTGCCCCTCTGCTCCCCTTCACTCCAGGCTCTCCACCCGAGGACATCCCCGTGATTCAGCAACCATAAGTTGGGAGGGGCACAAATTGGCTTGGGGGTCCCTGGGAGCTCCCCAGGGTCTGAGGAAAAGCCCAAAGGGACACCCAGTTCTGGGGCGCCATGGCTGCAGACATCACCCCCCATCACAGTTTTCTTCTTTTTTGGGGTGGGGGCACACCCAGTGATGCTCACGGCTTACTCCTGGTGGAGCTCAGGGAGCCTGTGGGGTGCCGGGAATGGAGCCCAGGTTGGGGGTGTGCAAGCCAGCCGCCCCCACCTTTCCTAACTGTAAGTCTCCTGGCGGTGGGGTATGTGGAGGTGGCTGAGGGGTGCTTCCCAGAGGAGGGGCACCAGGCGAGCACTTGTGGGAGAACCCTGTGGGACAGGGCTGGCAGGGGCTGGGAGCAGTGTGCACTGTGGTGGGCCAGGAAACTAGCTGCTCCATGCTCAGGTACTCACCCCTCCGACACAGTGTATCTGTCGGCCAGCGGCTCGCAGGCCACGCTGCCTATCCACACGCCGTGGGCCACGTCACTCAGCCGCCGGCCCAGGTTCTTGCCACGGATGGTCAGCAGTGTGCCACCGTCCAGAGGGCCACTCAGGGGCTCGATCTGCCGGGACACGGGAGTAAGTGGGGTCCTGAGATGGGGGCTGCCTGCAGGGGAGGCTCCACAGAACTGGGGCTGTGTGAGTTTGGGTCATCTCGGCCACTCCCTGGGGGCACAGCTGACCCTAAGTGCCCAGCCTCAGCCTCCTCCCGTGATTTCCTTCATTCTTTTCATGGTACTATTGTTGTTGTTGTTATTATTATTATTATTTTGCTACACCCTGCAATGCAGGGGCGACGCCCGGCTAGGTGTTTGGGGGTTGCTCTGATGTGTGGGGCGGGGGACATGCAGTGCTGGGAATCAGTCCAGCTGTCCTGCACGGGCGGGAGTGAGCATGTGCCCAGCACTGGGTCACTTGCTGGCCGGGAAGCCACTTCCTCAGCTGAGACTCAGACCTAAGGCTCTAGGTGGCCTCTGTGACTGCAACTCAGGGGTTCCCTGAATGGCACAAAATCCACACGCTCCTCCTCAGGGTCTGTGCCCACGCGCTCTCCCCCCGGCCACTTGGCAGAAAAGGTTTCTACCCTGGGGACCTGCAGCCCCCCACCCCATGAACCACGGCTCTGGGACCCCAACCCCGCAGGCCCTCGTCATGTGAGCCCAGCGTATGCCTGCAGTGTACACGCAGTGGGGTGTGCACGGGCCCAGGGGAGCTCACCGTGCGGATCTCGGGGGCCGGGCAGCTGTCGGGCAGGGGCTGCTGGGCCCCCCGCAGGCGGCAGCCGTCACTCCACACACACAGGTGGCCCAGGTCCTCTCGGCCCAGGCACTGGGAGCAGTCGGGGCTGCCCATGGCGCAGTTGTAGACCTCAACTGCGGGGACACGGAGTGGGTCAGCTCCCGCCCACACCCGCCGCTCCCGCTCCTCCCACTCTGCTCCCAGAGGCAAGCCCGGTTCCGAGGGCAGAACCTCGGGAGGGTCAGTTCCTGCGTCACACCCCAGAGGGCCTGGCAGCTGCAGCCTCCTCAGTACTGCTCAGCAATACCGACACAATCTTGGTGGCACGCCCAGATGGTTCCATCATTATTAATAAAATTGCCTGCGCCACAAGTCGATCGGCGGGCGCTGCTCACAAGCCCACTCAACCATGCAGACACCAGGTCAGAGGTGAGTGGGACCTGAGTGAGGCCACCGAATCCAGGTGGGGCCCAGAGAGTGGGTACCGGGCATCAGACCCCCACGTGGCCTAGGAAAGGGGGGGGGGCGGGGGCGGGAAGGGGGGATGGGCAGGGAGGGCTCCTGGGGACCTGGAGAGTGTGCTGTGTGTGGACTGTTTATGGAAAGGGTGCAGGGGTTCCAAATAACAAGGGGTGTCTGAGATGCCCTAGAGAGAGGCCCTTGGAGACTTGAGTTGACTCAAAACGTCCAGCAGTGAGGAAGCCGACTTCCACTTGAGGGTACTGTGACCTCCGCACCACTGAGTCTCAGCACATAGCCCTGACTCTGCCCAAGGGCCTGTGTCCTCCCCCACAAACCCAGAGGGGCAGAAGGCTCAGTCCAGCGAGATGCCCAGAAAAGGACCACACGCCAAGACTGAGCCCCATCCCCAGCAGCGGCTGAGTCCCTTGTGGCCCACCTGTCATGGGGTCAGGGCTGTCCAGGAAGCGGGCCGGCTGCCCCTTTAGCTGCAGACGGAGTGGAAACACCTGGCTCTTCTGGTTGGTGTGGAGCTGCAAGAGGAGGGCGGAGCTTGGGGGCTGCGCAGCGCTGCTCTCCAGAGGGAGGAGCGTGTGGGTGGGCGGGGGCGTCTGCAGAGGGAGGAGCATGTGTGCGGGCAGGGCCTGCCTCTGTAGGAGTGCGTGAGTGGGCGGGGCCTGCCTTTGCAGGGGGAGGAGCGTGGGGGTGGGCGGGGCCTGCCCTCTGCAGGGGGAGGAGCGTGTGGGTGGGCGGGGCCTTCCTCTGTAGAAGGAGTGCGTGGAAGGCGGGGCCTGCCTTTGCAGGGGGGAGCGGGTTAGTGGGCGGGGCCTTCTGCAGAGGGCGGAGCGAGCAGGCAGGTGGGGCCTGACTTCTGCAGAGGGAGGAGCATGTGGGTGGGCGGGGCCTGCCCTCTGGAGAGGGAGGAGCGTGCGGGTGGGCAGGGCCTTCCTCTGCAGAGGGAGGAGCATGTGTGTGGGCGGGGCCTGTCCTCTGCAGGGGGAAGAACGTGTGGGTGGGCGGGGCTTGCCTCTGTAGAATGAGTGCGTGGATGGGCGGAGCCTGCCTTTGCAGGGAGGAGGGGTTAGTGGGCGGGCCTTCTGCAGAGGGCGGAGCGAGCAGGCAGGTGGGGCCTGACTTCTGCAGAGGGAGGAGCATGTGTGTGGGCGGGGCCTGTCCTCTGCAGGGGAAGAACGTGTGGGTAGGCGGGGCTTGCCTCTGTAGAATGAGTGCGTGGATGGGCGGAGCCTGCCTTTGCAGGGAGGAGCGGGTTAGCGGGCGGGCCTTCTGCAGAGGGCGGAGCGAGCAGGCAGGTGGGGCCTGACTTCTGCAGAGGGAGGAGCATGTGTGCAGGCGGGGCTTGTCCTCTGAAGGGGAGGAGCGTGTCGGTGGGCGGGGCCTTCCTCTGTAGAAGGAGTGCGTGGAAGGCGGGGCCTGCCTTTGCAGGGGGGGAGCGGGTTAGTGGGCGGGGTCTTCTGCAGAGGGTGGAACGAGCAGGCAGACGGGGCCTGCCTTCTGCAGAGGGAGGAGCGTGGGGGTGGGCGGGGCCTGACTTCTGCAGGGGGAGGAGCGTGTGGGTGGGCGGGGCCTTCCTCTGTAGAAGGAGTGCGTGGAAGGCGGGGCCTGCCTTTGCAGGGGGGAGCGGGTTAGTGGGCGGGGCCTTCTGCAGAGGGCGGAGCGAGCAGGCAGGTGGGGCCTGACTTCTGCAGAGGGAGGAGCAAGTGGGTGGGCGGGGCCTGCCCTCTGGAGAGGGAGGAGCGTGCGGGTGGGCAGGGCCTTCCTCTGCAGAGGGAGGAGCATGTGTGGGGGCGGGGCCTGTCCTCTGCAGGGGGAAGAACGTGTGGGTGGGCGGAGCCTGCCTTTGCAGGGAGGAGGGGTTAGTGGGCGGGCCTTCTGCAGAGGGCGGAGCGAGCAGGCAGGTGGGGCCTGACTTCTGCAGAGGGAGGAGCATGTGTGCAGGCGGGGCTTGTCCTCTGAAGGGGAGGAGCGTGTGGGTGGGCGGGGCCTTCCTCTGTAGAAGGAGTGCGTGGAAGGCGGGGCCTGCCTTTGCAGGGTGGGGAGCGGGTTAGTGGGCGGGGTCTTCTGCAGAGGGTGGAGCGAGCAGGCAGACGGGGCCTGCCTTCTGCAGAGGAAGGAGCGTGGGGGTGGGCGGGGCCTGACTTCTGCAGGGGGAGGAGCGTGTGGGTGGGCGGGGCCTGCCCTCTGCAGGGGGAGGAGCATGTGGGTGGGCGGGGCCTTCCTCTGTAGAAGGAGTGCGTGGAAGGCGGGGCCTGCCTTTGCAGGGGGGGGAGCGGGTTAGTGGGCGGAACCTTCTGCAGAGGGCGGAGCGAGCAGGCAGACGGGGCCTGCCTTCTGCAGAGGGAGGAGCGTGGGGGTGGGCGGGGCCTGCCCTCTGCAGGGGGAGGAGCGTGTGGGTGAGCGGGGCCTGCCCTCTGCAGGGGAGGAGCATGTGGGTGGGCGGGGCCTTCCTCTGTAGAAGGAGTGCGTGGAAGGCGGGGCCTGCCTTTGCAGGGGGGGAGCGGGTTAGTGGGCGGGGCCTTCTGCAGAGGGCGGAGCGAGCAGGCAGGTGGGGCCTGACTTCTGCAGAGGGAGGAGCATGTGGGTGGGCGGGGCCTGCCCTCTGGAGAGGGAGGAGCGTGCGGGTGGGCAGGGCCTTCCTCTGCAGAGGGAGGAGCATGTGTGTGGGCGGGGCCTGTCCTCTGCAGGGGAAGAACGTGTGGGTAGGCGGGGCTTGCCTCTGTAGAATGAGTGCGTGGATGGGCGGAGCCTGCCTTTGCAGGGAGGAGGGGTTAGTGGGCGGGCCTTCTGCAGAGGGCGGAGCGAGCAGGCAGGTGGGGCCTGACTTCTGCAGAGGGAGGAGCATGTGTGCAGGCGGGGCTTGTCCTCTGAAGGGGAGGAGCGTGTGGGTGGGCGGGGCCTTCCTCTGTAGAAGGAGTGCGTGGAAGGCGGGGCCTGCCTTTGCGGGGGGGGGGGGAGCGGGTTAGTGGGCGGGGTCTTCTGCAGAGGGTGGAGCGAGCAGGCAGACGGGGCCTGCCTTCTGCAGAGGGAGGAGCGTGGGGGTGGGCGGGGCCTGACTTCTGCAGGGGGAGGAGCGTGTGGGTGGGCGGGGCCTGCCCTCTGCAGGGGGAGGAGCATGTGGGTGGGCGGGGCCTTCCTCTGTAGAAGGAGTGCGTGGAAGGCGGGGCCTGCCTTTGCAGAGGGGGAGCGGGTTAGTGGGCGGGGCCTTCTGCAGAGGGCGGAGCGAGCAGGCAGGTGGGGCCTGACTTCTGCAGAGGGAGGAGCATGTGGGTGGGCGGGGCCTGCCCTCTGGAGAGGGAGGAGCGTGCGGGTGGTCAGGGCCTTCCTCTGCAGAGGGAGGAGCATGTGTGTGGGCGGGGCCTGTCCTCTGCAGGGGAAGAACGTGTGGGTGGGCGGGGCTTGCCTCTGTAGAATGAGTGCGTGGATGGGCGGAGCCTGCCTTTGCAGGGAGGAGCGGGTTAGTGGGCGGGCCTTCTGCAGAGGGCGGAGCGAGCAGGCAGGTGGGGCCTGACTTCTGCAGAGGGAGGAGCATGTGTGCAGGCGGGGCTTGTCCTCTGAAGGGGAGGAGCGTGCGGGTGGGCGGGGCCTGCCTCTGCAGGGTAAGAAGGGGCTTTGGGGCGGGCCAGGTTGCCCACGGAAGGGGAGGCGCTGCACTGCAGCAGAGGGTCTGCGTTCTGCAGTGGAGGCTTTGGGGAGCGGCACGAACAGGCAGCGGGTACGTGAAGGCCCGAGAGCTGGGTCCAGCCCCGCCTCGGTGGGGTCACACGGCTCACCACCACTTGGTCGCAGCGCACGGCCGTCTGATTCACCCAAACGGCCTCGAAGACCTCCTGAGGCCCGAAGCTGCAGTCGAGGGGTGTGCCCTGTGGGAAGGGAGACGGGAGGCCGATCGACAGCTGCCCAGGAGTGGCAAGGAGCGTGACTTCTTCTTGGGTCGGCCCAAGCAGGGCACGCCTCTCCAGCACCCCCAGGGACCCCTGGGAACAGTGGGCACCCAGAGAGACTCCTCCTGCCCCTCTGCCCTCAGCCCCCCTATCTGCCCCATAGTCCCCCGAAACCCTCTTGCACACATGGGCGCTTGTCCCAGGCACTGCCCTTCCCCCCACTAGCAAAACCCAACAGTCTCCTGCTCCAGTGCCTCCTCCCAAAGCCTCCTCAGAGCCCCCAGATCAGAGAGTGCCCCTCATCCGAGCCCCATATCAGAGGTTGCCTCTCATCTGAGCCCACATCAGAGGGTTCCCCCTTTGCTGAGGTTTGGGGGGGTGTTGGGAAGCCTCCCCCCCCCCCCCCGCCCCCTGCCTGTCTGGGGGGCCCTTTCCCCGCATTTGGCTGAGGGGAGGGACAGGTCTGGCCTCTCAGACTCCTCCCACAGGGCAGCAGGCGGAGACTGGCAGGGCTCAGAGTCACCTCATGCATCTGGGCCCAACTCCCACCTCTGCTGCTTCCTGGCTGTGCACCGCAGCAAGTGGCCCGCCCTCTCATGTCAGGGGTTTTATGAACGCTGCAAGGAAAATGGGCGTCCTGGCCTGGGGCAGGGTGCTGGGGGAACCACAGCTGGTTTCCCCTGATTCTCTTAGCCTCTAATTACTATGGTGCCACAGCTCGCAGGGTTCTGGCCCTGCAGTGCTCAGGGACCACACCTGGTTGGTGCTGGTGCCACGCAGTGCCAGGGATTGAAGTCAGGTCTGTCGCATAATGGGCATGTGCTGGCAGCACAGCCCGGGCACCTCGAGGTGCCAGGAGACGTCTGCCACTCAGAGAGGTGCCCCAGCCTCCTTAGAGAAGCCACCCCAGCCTCCTCAGAGCGCCCGAGCCTCATCAGAAAGGTGCCCCCACGCCTCCTCAGAGAGGCCGTCCCCAGCCTCCACCGAGCAGCTTTGGTGAATATTTGCTGAATGAACGGGCTTGTGCGTGACGCGTCCCTGGCCGCGTGTGGCACCACTTCCTGTTTATGTCCCTGTGGCTGGCAGATGGGACACTTGAGGGGAAGCAGGCCAGCCCTCCCCGGCCCTGCTTGAGGGGACACAGGAAGGCTCCCGTCCCTTGTGCCACGGGGCGGGAGGTGGGCCTGTCCTCTGTGTCCCTGAGTTCAGGCCCGTCCTGGGGACAGGATGGTGTGAGGGGGCTCTGTCTCCCACCCTTCCCTAGGGTTCGAGAAGCACGTCTGGGGCCTCTGGGCACTGGCAGAGCAGCAGCCAGGCCTGGGCCTCCCCATCCGGACCCCAGGGAGCAGCATTCCTGTCCCCACAAGCCTCCAGTCACGTCCCAGATGCCGGCACGTGGCCCCCACGTGTGACAGCCATCACGGGCCTCAGCTTCCCAAGCAGGCGACAGATGGCGAGTCCCCAGGAGCTGGGGAGGGGGTGGCTGGCACACAGCCAGCACTCGTCAACACTTCTCACCCAGGAGGGGCCCACCCAGGGGCTGCATCCCTGCCCCCCACCCAGATGGGCTCTAGGGAAGGGAGGTTGGTGGGGGATGAGCACCTGTTGGGGAGTCCAGGGCTCGGGTGCGAGTCCAGCCCGCACAGCCCGAGTCTCTCAGTCCCTGTCCAGGGCCCCATCTGGATGGAGGAGGTTGGGGGGGGGTCCCTGCTGTTATCATCAGGGAACCAGGTGGTTGGGCCTGGGGTGGCCCTGCCACGCACAGACCAGGTCACCGGGGCTGAGCGTGGGGTGGACAAGGGCTTTCCCGGGGAGTTCGGGAGAGTGTCCCCCAGAGCTCTCGGGGCCCCACTGCCAGCCTGGCCTGGCCCTGGTCCCCCATCGCTGTGCCCCGGCCTCTCCTCAGAGAGCCTGGGAAGTCGGAGAAAGAACCAGAGTAGAGCAGTCCCCGAACCTCCTGCACTCACCTGGAAGAAGGCGGCGTTGGCCACGGGCACCTCGATGCTCCGGGAGCCGCCCGTGGGCACGGGGGCCAGTGGGGTGGGCAGGCTCTGGGGACAGTCCTGAGGGCTCTGCAGCAAGGCACAGACGGGTGGGGGACACTTCAGAGGAGCCATCCCGGGGGCACCAGCAGCCTGTGCGAGGAGGGGCGGGCACCGGGCAGGAAGCCAGGTGGCCCACCCGGGACACAGCGGCCTTGTGGCCGGGCCCTGGGTCCCTTTTTACAGAGGAGAAAACTGAGGCACAGGAAGGTGAAATCACCCGCCCAGAGGAACTGGGTCCCTCCAAAGGGCCCTGAGGTTGAGACCTTGCCTGCCCCGGGGTGGAACTGTGGGGGGCTGCCCAGACCCCCACTGAAGGAGGGCGTGCAGGTTTCTAGACCGAGACTCGCTGATTCAGAGCAAGGAGACTCCAGGGTGGGGGGCACGGCACCCCTCCATCCCGCTGGGTCCGAGCCTCGGGGGAGGGGGGAAACGGGGGTCGCCTCAAGGGCCCAAGGGAAGGATGGGGACCCCCCTCCTGCTCCCAGACTCTTGAGAGACCTCGACGAGAAGAGGCCGGGGTCCCCAGGCTGAGGAGGAGGACAGAGGCCCTCAGATGCCCGGAATAAAGCCCGGGGCGGCCCAGGCAAAGGTCCACACAGCCTCAGTGCTCTCGGCTCTCCACACTTGCTCACTCCCACACCCCACGCGGGTGGCATGACACGGGAGATCCCCACCGTGCATCCTCTGACGGGGAAGTGGAGTCCCTGCCTACCTAGGGCCCCTTCCCTAGTGAGAGCTTCCAGTTCCCGAGGGCCCAGGGTGCAGACCCCTCCCCCCCGGACCAGAGGTCATTCTGGGAACCCACTGACCAAACTCCACAGGAGGCCTCACCCCCCTCTGTAGCACCAGCCTCTCAGACTGACCCTCCAGCCCACTCGGCCACGGCGAGGGTGCTGCCACGGGAGCAGCTCTGGGCTGGCACACTCCTACGCATCCGTCAGAGCCCCAGGACTCAGGGATAGCCGACCCAGCTGCCCACAGCCGCTATGTGGCGGGATTCCTCCTTCAGATGCTCCCCCTGCGGCTGGAGGTGGGTGCATCTGACAGATGGGGACACAGCGCAGAGAGGTTTCGAAGCTTTCCCAGGACCACACAGCCTCAAGGTCAGGGCCCGGGGGCTGGACCAAGTCTAATGGGCTTCTTCCCAGCGCTTCAGATAGACTCAGGCATACTGTAGGCACTCAATAAATGCTGCGGGCATGTGCTGAGGTGGGGTCCCCCCTCCTCACCCCTCTTAGGTCAGCCTCACGCAAGCATGCCCTGAGTCCCTCCTGAGCTGGGGGCTCAAGGGACCCAAAACACAAGCACAGAGGTCCTGGGGGTCCCAGTTGGGCAACTCCAGCACCCAGAGAGGTTCAGGGTCCCCCCGATGGCCACTCAGCCTCCTCCCAGCACTGCACCCGTCTCGAGTCAAGCAAGGCTGCAGCCCGGGCACAGAGCTCCTCTTAAGACCCACTCGGGCTGGAGCAATAGCAGAGCGGGGAGGGCGTTTGCCTTGCATGCGGCCAACCTGGGTTCGATTCCCAGCATCCCATATGGTCCCCTGAGCACCACCAAGAGTAATTCCTTAGTACATGAACCAGGAGTAACCCCTGTGCATGGCCGGGTGTGACCCAAAAAGCAAGAAAAAAAAAAAAGACCCGCTCTGCCTCCTGCCATGGGCAGACAAAGCTTCTGAGTGCCTGGAAGGTTCTCTGGGGCTCTGCTGTGGGCCGCCTCCCAGGCAGGCTTCTGTTGGACACCAGGGGCCCCCAGGGCGGACCAGTGGCCTCAGTGGTACCACCTGCAAAATGGGTATCAACCTTATTTTCCAGAGAGACACACTGTGCTAGGGGCTTGATGCCCCACCCGGTTCACTACCAGCCCTGATGTGACAAGGAGGGTCCCGAGCCAGCTCTGAGGGGGCTGGTCAGCTTCCGCGAGGCCAAAGTCACCATCCCAGAGTCAGGAACCTGCTCGGTCACCCCAGATGCAGGGCTTGCACGGGCCCAGCAATCTCTGCGCAAAGACAGAGGCTTCCTCACAAGAGAACATTCCAGAAGCCTACCGGTGGAGAGCCGGAGAGAGCACAGCAGGGAGGGCACCCACTTACATGCAGCCAAGCTGGGTCCAACATCTGGGACCCCAGCTGGTCCCCTGAGCACAGCCAGGAGTGATTGCTGAGCGCAGAGTCAGGCCTCACCCCTGAGCACTGTCGGGTGTGGCCCTCCAATAAGAAAGCCAACGACAACAAAGAAAGCAGGCAGGGAGAGTCCGCCGCATCCCAGAGTCAGCGGTTAACGCTGTCGCTCAGCCGGGGAGGGAGACCCGGGCCTGTGCCCACCACCCCGCCCCTGGCCCCCGGGGTCCAAGACTCCAGGACACATACCCTGAGGCTGCTCGTAGCCCCAGTTTCCCTGTGTGTCTCCACGCACACAGGCGCCTCAGGGAGCACAAAAAAGCGAGCAACGGAAAGGATCCTGAGCACGCAGGCGACTCAGGACCAAACACGGCAGGAGTCGGAGGCGCCGCCTGCTCTGGGCTCTCAGGTGAGAGTGGAGTGTGAGGGGGAGTTTGAGAAGCCCCGGCCTGCACCCCCCCACCCGGGGCCCCGGGGAGCCAGGCGGGGGCCCCACCCGGCTCTTGTCAGGGGGAAATGAGGTCAGAGACTCAAGGCCAGAACTCCCAGGCCTCGACCCCACTGCCCTGACCAGCCTCTCAGGGCTACCTTGGCCCTGCCCCCCCAAGGTATGGGGGGCACTTGGGGCAGGAACTGGGGGCTCATGGCGGGAAGGGGGCGAACAGACAGGCCATCTCGGGGACAGTGATCTCTGGAGTAAAAGTAGGCCTCGACAGAGCGATAGCAGAGCGGGGAGGGTGCTTGTCTTGCACGGGTTCGATCCCCGCCACCCATAGGGTCCCCCGAGCACTGCCTGGAGTAAGTCCTGAGTGCAGAGCCAGGAGCGACCCCTGAGCATCACTGGGTGTGACCCCCACACAAACAAACAACTATGGCCTTGCTTTCACCCCAAAATGCCACCTCTAAGGGTGGGTCCCCAAGGACAGATGACAAGGTGGGACACTATAGCCAAAGAAGGGGACAGGAAGCCGCGGGTCGCACAGCACCTCCCAGGGGCCTGTGCCAGGTGGGTGACGCCACGCCCAGACCCAGTCAGCTGCATGAATCCAACCCCCAAGGACAAAGGCGGTCAGCCCGCGGGGGCAGAGGGCACCTGGAGCCCAGCTTACCGTGGGGTTTGGGGAGCTCTCGCACCGCGACTGGTTGGAGACGCAGGCGTGCTGCTGGGTGCACCAGAAGCAGGGCCAAGGTGCCGACAGGCAGCTGCTGCAGCTGGGGACCACGACGACAGACTCTCAGGCGGGAGCCCACCCCCTCCTGCCCCCAGAGGCCAAGAGGAGAAGGACCAGTGGGGCAGCCCCCGCCCTGCCGGGCCCACACTCACGCCGTGTGTGGGTACACCTGCCCGGTGCGGCCGCAGTCGTAGATGCTGAAGTTGGCACTCACAATGCTGTGCCCGCCGACCCGCACGGACACCTCCACGGTCACGTGGTCTGCACCGGACCAGACACCGCTCACCTTCCAGCCGGCCAGCAGGGCCTGCCCCGAGGTGCCCCCCCCAACCCTGGCCCCCACAGAGACCAGACGCTCACCCTGGTGGGGCGGGAAGGGCGGGAACTGGTTCCGGGGCAGGAGGTCGCAGTAGGCCAGCTGGTGGCCGAAGGCGGGGCCGGGGACACGGGCCACCGTGCGGATGCTGCCCCCATAGTCACACGCCATCTCCGCACCACTCAGGTCCGGCAGACTCCCCGACAGCTGCAGGATCATGCCCTGGAGGGGACCGGGTCCCGGAGGGTCAGCTGCGGGGAAGGGCCAGCCGCCACATCTACAGTGACCCGAGGGCCTCAGTTTCCCCATCTGTAAAGGGAGTGTCCCAGAGCTGCACGAGTCTCACAGATGGTGGCCGTTAGTGAGAGTCTGTGGGGAGGTCTCTGCCCTCACGGATACTCTGCCCTACCACGGGTACTCTGCCCCCCACGGGTACTCTGCCCTCACCGGGTACTCCTGGCGCACGTCAATCTCAGCGGGCAGCACAGCCATGGAGGGGCAGCGGCCCGGGCCCTCGCTGGCGCTGGTCCAGAAGTGCGGCAGGCTGGCATTGGCGCAGTCGCGCTGCAGTGTGCATCTGCGGGGGCAGGGGTGGTCAGCGTGGGTGGGGGCCCCCGGAGCCCACTGCCGGAGCCCAGCTCACCGTGTCTCCAGGGTGCACCAGCCGCAGTAGGCGTCGGCGGCTCCCACGCAGTCCGCGCAGGTGGCGTGCAGGGCGCAGGCGGCCACGCTCACTCGGGCCATCTGTGGGCAGGAGGGGGCAGCTCACTGCGTGCCTGGCTCGCTGCGGAAACTGAGGCGGGGCCTCGCGCAGGGGATGCCGGGAGCTCGCCGGGGGCCTTACCTGGTGGGACGTCATCAGGTAAAGGTAACTGGGGTCCGTGGGGTCGAACTGCATCACATGGTGCACAGGCTCCCCGTAGGCCACGGTCAGTGCCCGCCTGCTCGCCACCTGCATGCTCTCGTTCAGGTTGATCTGGGGGGGGGGCATGGGATGAGCACAGGCACCCCCCGGGCCCACCCATGGCATCCTTCCGGGTAGCGGAGGGAAGCAACTTCTTGGACCAGTCAGTTCCAAGGGCCTGGGGCAGGTGGCTTTCCTGACAGACGAGGCTGGGGGGCTCCCGCCTGCACCCCCGCCCCGACCCCCCGCCACCCGCACCGCCAGCCCACCTTGAGCAGCCGTCCACTGACGGTGCCCAGGAAGACCACCGTGTAGTTGCTCACGCTGGCCACGGCCACGGAGGAGAGTCCGGGCGCGCGGAAGACGGGCGTGGCCTTGAGGGGCTGCAGGACGGAGAGGGGGTGCTGCAGGTGGGCCGCCCCGCAGTCCAGCTGCTCCGGTTGCAGCTGCAAAAGAAACAGCCCGTCGGGCCTCCTGAGGGTCCCGGATTCGGCTCTGCGTCTCCTTCCTGCTGTGCCCCAGACAGGCCGGACCCGGGGGGACGGGTGTGGATCAGGGGCCCTGGGGGTCAGGACAGAAGCCTGGCTGCCCTCGTGCGGCTCCTCCCGCTCACAGCAGACCACCCCACGCCTTTCTTGACCTCAATTTCCCCAGAGCCCCAGCCTGAGGGGAGGGAGTGACACCAAACTCCCCACCCTCGCCTGCACACGGACCCTCCCCCCATCGCCCACCTGACACGCAGGCCCTGGAGACCAGGGGCGTTCGTCTGAGCGCACCATCCTGGGGACCCCCCCTCCCTGCCACTCCCAGATCTGCTGTTGCTTCTCCAGGGTTCTGTGGGTGTTTCAGGGGTCCTTAGGGTGATTTAAGCGTCCTGAGGATGTTTTCAGGGGTCCCATGGGCGATTCAGAGGTCCTACTGGTATTTCAAGGGTCCTGAAGGTGTTTCGGGGGTCTTACTAGTGTTTTAGGGATCTGGTCCTGTGGGTGTTTTGGGGGTCCTGAGAGTGTTTCAGGGGTCATGTGGGTGTTTCAGGGGTCCTTAGGGTGATTTAAGCGTCCTGAGGATGTTTCAGGGGTCCCATGGGCGATTCAGAGGTCCTACTGGTATTTCAAGGGTCCTGAAGGTGTTTCGGGGGTCTTACTAGTGTTTTAGGGGTCTGGTCCTGTGGGTGTTTCAGGGGTCCTGAGGGCGATTCAGGGGTCCTGTGGGTGATTTGGGGTCCTGACGGTGACTCAGAGATAACTGTGGGTGTTTGGGATCTGTGGATGATTCGGGAGTCTCGAGGACGGTTCAGGGATCCTGTGAGCTTGGGGAGTCTGTGGGTGATTTGGGGTCCTGAGGGTGAATCAGGAGTTCGTGGGTGTTTCGGGGGTCTCGCTGCAATCTGCAGAGAGCACGCCCAGCAGCCCCACAGGCAGCGGGAAGGTGGCTCAGCGGAGACAGTGCCCCCGGCCCACCCTCGCCTCAGTGACCCCGGACCAGAAACAGGGATCTGCACAGCCAATGAGGTCCTGTGGCACCGATGGGGAAACTGAGGCTCAGAGGCACCGCCTGCTTTGGGACAGAGCTGGCAGCCACACACGGAGATGTGGGTGCTCTGAGCAGGACTCAGGGGACAGACAGGCTGTTTTCCATGACTTGAACAAAGGTCTTATCTGCACCATTTGCAGGCCAAGGATGCCATGCCAGCAGCCGCACCACCAAGGCCAGCCTGTCCAGGGTCCCGCCCCATTCAGCTGGGGGGCCAGTGCCCCACTGCAGGGGCGACAGTGCTCCGCTTGGCGGGGCTGGGCCTAGGGCTGCAGGCACGACCTCATCCTGGAAAGTGGATGCTGGGACACTTTCCCAGTGGCCTCTCCAGGTGGGGTCCCCTAGGCCAGCCCCCCCAGGAACACTGCTAGGGGTTACGTAACTTTTCTTCACTCTGGGATGGCTTGCATCACTAAATTGTTTTAAAATTAAAATTGAAAGCCCCACAATGGGAGGGAGGCCCCTGGTTTGCACCCGGTGTTCCCGGGGGGGGGGGCCGGGAGGCTTCCAGGACACCTTGGGGATCCTCTACCATCTGCCCCGTGACGGGGGCTCCAGCCAGCCGGCGTGGGGGTCCTGGGAAACGCCGCCGTGGAGGCCCGCCGGGGTGAGACTGAGGGGAGCGTGCTGGGAACCCGCTCTCGCCTGCCCGCCCTGACGTTCACAAGCCATTAATTCTGCTCGGAGGAATTTTCTAAAAAGCCTTTCCTCCAACTTTTTTTTTTTTCTTATCCTAAAAATAAAATTAAAAAAAAAAGTTTAAAGGAGAAGTCACCCCAGCTGCTCTGAGTGATCGGAGCTGAGGGACGGGCGCCCCCCACGTGGACACGCATCTCCTCACGTGCCTGGGGGGGGGTAACGGGGGGGGGGAGGGCCCCCCCCCCCCCCGCTCCCCCGGGCAGCTGCTGACGAGGCCAGACTTGGCCCCGGGCTCCAGGGGGTTGGCGTCACCAGCACCCGGCCACCACCCTGACCCCAACTCCTGGGTCAGCTCTGCCTCCCTCGGGCTCCGGGGTCCCCAGAGAGGGGGTGGCCCCCCTCGGTCAGGCGCCGCCTTCCAAGTCCATAACCGCTGCCCCTTCCCGGCCAGAACCCGCCTCTGGCGCCCCAGATCGAGGCCCAGGCCCCTGCCAAGCCATTCTGGCCTCAGCTGGTCACACGAACCCTCATGGGCAGACAGACAGACAGACCGACACCTCCCCGCCGGGCCTTGGAGCCCCTGTGACGGTCCCCTCAGGAGCCAGTGCCCATCCCTGTCCCTTCCCAGGTCCTCCAGCCGCGTGCCCTGAGCCAGCCTCTCCCGCGGCCCCCCTGTGGCTCCAGAGGGGCCCCCTGAGTGCCCAGCATGGCCTCACTGTGGCCGGGGCTCGCTGTGCCGCCGTGTTTCAAGAAGGAGGATGGGGGCGTGTAGAGAGCTGGGTGGGGGGGCTAAGTGCAGAGTGGAAGGCCCCTCCCGCTCCCCTGAACGCCACCAGGAGTGAAGCCCCCGAAGCTCAGAGCTGGAAGGAGCCCCTGAGCACTGCTGGGCACACCCCAAAACCCGAGATGAGAGAAAGAAGAGCGGAGGGCCCGCACGGTGGGCGTGTGGGCCTGAGGGAGCCTGGTTCCGTCCCCCTGTGCAACACAAAGACCTCAGCACTGCCAGGAATGATCCTTGAGCACTGCTGGGGGGCCCAGACCCAAGCAAAGAAAGAGCCGGAGAGAACCTGACAGCGTGCGGGTGACCGTGCTCCTTCCCACCCAGAGGCGGCAGACAACTCAGAAGAACATGCCGCGCGCCCCACGCTGGGCCCTCCAGGAGCCTCAGTTTACTCCTCTCTAAAGTGGGAGCAGCCAGCATCAGCTGCTGTTCTCAGCCTATTCCCCCCCCCCCCCCCCCCCCCCCCGCCAGTCTCCAGGGCAGGGACGGCTCTGCCCGCCCCTGCCAGATCGATTTCACTGTTGACTGTTTCTCCCAGGAATCCATCTGGGGTGAGTGTCTCTGCGCCCGGTTCTCAGGCCGCTGCATCCTGCCCACGGGCACAGCCCAACCTCAGCACTGGAGGCGGCAGTGGTGTGGGGGGTGGGGGCTCTGTGGCGGGCTGCGAGGCTCAGAGCATGTGCCCTGGGCGAGGCGGGTGCAGACCACCCTGCCGGGGGCTCTGAGCTGCGGGGGCAGCGCACACCTTCCTGCCGTCGCTGTAATCGTTATCGACCTGCTAAGCCCTGCGAGCGGAAAGCGAGGTTTCCCTGAAAGCGTCCAAGAGGCTGGAGCAGCTCCAGGCCCAGGGCCGACACCCCCCGCCCCACAGCCGACGGGGAGCTTTGAAATACTGCAAAGCTGGAGGGGCGAAGGTACACAGGTAAGGTGCCTTGCGTGCCTCCAGCCGGCGCTCCATCCCTGGCATCCCCGGGAGGGACACCTGAGCGCAGAGCCAGGAGTGAGCCCTGAGCATCGCAGGGTGTGGCCCCAAAATAAATGAAAATAGAAGTGCAAAGCACCTGAAATGCCGACAGGGGATGGTGCGGAGGGGGGAGGGGGACACTCGTGGGGGCAGGCGCGGCGCTTGCGTGAAGAGCCAATTTTGCTGGCTGTGACCAGGGTTCCATGGCAATAATGTAAGGCCCTAGCAACGGGGAAACTGGGGCTGGGGCTGGAGCAGACGGGGACTCTCGGTACTATCTTGGGAACTTTCCTGTAAATCTAAAATTACTCCAACGGCAAAAGTTTACCGAGAGCAGCAGGGCGGGGGTGGGGCGAAACGCGGGTTCGAGCGCCTGGCGGAGCGAGAAGATGCCCCAGGTCCGGTCCTGCCACCTGGTGCCACCCGGGAGCCACGAGCACCACGGGACGGAGCAGCGGCACCCTCGGACCCTGAGATTGAGCGATCAGCCCCAGGCACCCTTGGGAGGGAACCCTCAAGGAAAGAAACCTCAGAGCAGGCGGGGGCCCGGCCCACTGTGGCCCCCCCCCCACATCCCCACCAACTCCTAAGCCCTCGGGCTGGGAAACCCCCGTGAGGGCTGAGGGGAGCCTGGGAGGAAGCTGCCGCCTGGGCCACCCTGCCCCACTGTCCTGGCAGACCCTGGGTGTCGCTCAGCTGCATGAGATCAGGGTGGGGTCTGAAGCCGCTCGGGGACCCCCAACACGTCTCAGCGCCTTTGACCTCCAACCACCAGGCTCCTGGCCGAGGGCTCCACAGCCCTGCCCCTGTGAGGGTAAACTGAGGCACAGAGGACCCCACAGCCCAGTGTGTGCTGGACTTGAGGGAGCAGGACGGACTTGGCTGGGGGGCTGGGGGTGGCTCTGCCAATATCCCCTAGGTCACGTAGAACTTCCCACAGAGGGCAGTCGAGATGCACCATTTTATAATGTATTTTTGTTTTTTGTGTCTAAGCCACACCTGGCAGTGCTCAGGGCTGACTCCTGGCTCTGTGCTCGGGGATCACTCCTGGCTCTGTGCTCAGGGCTCACTCCTGGCTCTGTGCTCAGGTCTGACTCCTGGCTCTGTGCTCAGGGCTGACACCTGGCTCTGTGCTCAGGGCTCACTCCCGGCTCTGTGCTCAGGGCTCACTCCTGGCTCTGTGCTCAGGTCTGACTCCTAGATCTGTGCTCAGGGCTGACTCCTGGCTCTGTGCTCAGGGCTCACTCCAGCTCTGTGCTCAGGGCTCACTCCCGGCTCTGTGCTCAGGGTTGACTCCTGGCTCTGTGGTCAGGGCCGTCTCCTGGTTCTGTGCTCAGGGTTCACTCCTGATGGGGCTCAGAGACTTCTCTGAGGTGCTGGGATGGATCCAGGCTCAGCCACATGCGAGACAAGTGTGTGTCCTGCCTCGTGTGCACAGACTCCATTTTCAGGGCCCGGATGAAAATGGATAGAGAAGACAGGCATGGCCCTGAGCTGGCGGGGAGCAGTGCTGTGGGGAAACCAGAGAG